CCGGCGCCAGGGCCGGCCCCCAGCCGAGGGGGGCGGAACAGGCAGCTGGGCTGGCCGGGGGGGTTCTGCCTCCCAGCTCTGCTTTGCCAGGGTCGTTACCTGGTCACGAGGCCGGGCCGGCTCCTAAGTGTCCATCACTGGGCTGCGAAGATCTCAGTGGAATTAGGGCAACTCGTTCCCCGGGGGTCTGGGGCCAGGCCGGGGAAGCTGGTGGTTCCCAAGGAGGAGGCGGGGGAGTGGGTGGGGAAGCGGGAAGCAGAGACGGGTGGCAGGCCCGGCAGGAGTTAACTTGTCCAGGTGAAGCGGCAGAACAGCAACGGGAAGGGGGTGCCCGGAAAGGCCCGGGCTGGGGAGGGTTGCTGTTGCTCTGTGCTTCTGTGGTGGTGGACGGGGGTGAAGCACCGCGGCTTAGGGACGGCAGCAGAGCGCAGGCTGCCCAGGGGGCCGGGGGGGTTCCGACTCCAGGGAGTTAACTCGGGCCACGTAGTTACTCGGGATGTAGCCTTCCTGCCCCGTCAGCGCCTTCGCTCTCCACCACTCTCCCGACCTGCGGAGGTTCCCATCACCCCGCCACTGGGGGGGGGTCACCCCCCAGGGCACTGCCTGCCCTCCCCAGCCCCACAGGCAGCCGTTCTCATGGGTCTCCGATGCTGCACCCAGGCTGTGCAGCCCTGGTGCAGAGGGACTCTACAGGCACGGGAGCCCAGAGAAGTCAGCCTGGGCAGGCAGCCTTCCCAGCTGCCCCGGACCCGCAGAGCCAGGGCATGGCGAGGGGGCGCCAGGCTCCCGGGAGACACAGAAGCATCAGGGCTGCACTTACTCCTCCAGCACCTTCAGCTGATCTCCTTTCCGGAAGCTCAGGTCCTCCTGGTGTATCGCTTCGTAGTCATACAGGGCCAGGACGATGTTGTCGTCGGAGCCTGCAAGGCGGAGCACACCCCCTTCCCTGAGAATGGCAGAGGGGATCCCCTGGGAAAGGGGGAGCACTGACTCCAACACGAGACGCCCTCAAGTCCCTCTCTGTTCACCAGTCACGAGGACCCCTCCTTTATCCCCGTGGATCCGTCAGGGAATTCCGCTTCTGTAGCCGCTGTATTCCCCAGTGCAGTGTTTCTCAACCTTTTTTTTTTTTTTTTTTTATAAAGTACCCCCTTTTCAAAAATAACATAAGTACCCGCAGGACCTACAGTTTTCAGACACGCCATTTTTTTCTCCCATTGCAACACATTTGTTTAAACTACTTAATCGTAGCCGGGCGGGAGATGAAATTTTTGGGTGTAAAAAGTACAAAAATAATCAAGCGCTGTAAAACTTACAACAAAAATTCAGTTTTCTCCAAATTTCCATTGTGTGGACGTCCCCCCCAGACCTCTCTCAAGTACCCCTAAGGGTTCTCGTCCCACTGCTTGAGAAACACTGCCCCAGTGGACTGCAACCCTGATTGGCCAGGATCAGGCCCTTCTGGTGGCTCCTTCCTTATTCACCCAGCCCACCCCAAGATGGCAGCTGAGCCCCTTCCCCTGTAATAGCAAACAGCAGCCAAGCCCTGGTCTCCCTCCCAGTAACATGCACACGTCCCCTCCCCGCAAACCCACTGGTGCACAGCAGGGGCGGGGTGACTGACAGGCCTGCACACGCGGGGGAGGTCCCATGGGAGGATGAACCAGGGCAGGCCGCTCGGGACATGCCTGAGCATCCGAGGTCATGACACAAGAGACCCTCACGGTGGCTGGTGCACAGACGCAAGTGGGATCCGCAGCCAGGTTCCCGGCGGCGAAAGGAGGCTGCATCGCACGCACCCTTCCAGAGCCCGGCTGTGCAGCAACACCTGGATTCTCCCATAAGGGAGGAGTCCAACTAGTGGCAAAGGACAGGGGGGGCCTGACCCTCTCACTTTTTACCGGGGGCGGGGCAGAGAGGAGCAAGTGGAGGGCAGGGTCTTGGGGGAAGGGATGCCGTGAGGGCAGGGACTCAGGGAGGAGGCAGCCCTGGTGCCCCCCACACTTTTAAGGTGCTTCTGCTGCTCCTGGGCCCAACCCAAAGCCCCAGCTCCAAAGGCCCCCCACGCTGGGAGAGTTTGACCCCGACGTGAAGGCCCCAGCACACTCATCTCTGACACTAGCTCCCTGCACAGCTGCCCGCACCCCCGTCCAGACGTACCATCCACTGCGTGGGGCAGAGTCGGGCCGGAGTTACTGTTCTGCAAAGCAAGACGAGGGGAGTGGTTAGAGGAGGAAGTCCCCACCACCACTCCCCTGTGGGATGGAGACCAGAGGCGGACAGCACTGGGGGCACAGGGAGAGGGCTGAGCAGAGCCGAGAGCCTCCCCATGAAAGCCTGGCTGGACGGTGGGACGGAGCACGTGCTCCGGTGGACGCCAAAGCCGTCCCCCATCTCGGGGCTGTCCATTCTGGACGGCAGACTCCGGCAATATTTATTTTCGCTCTTTAACCCATTCACTGCTGACCTCCAGGGGAGCCACAACCTTCATCCCCTCCTCTTCTCTCTCCAGCCTCTTCCTCCTCCTGTTTCCTCCTAACTAGTCCCTAGGCGGGCGGGGAAGCGCCGGGATGGGCTTTGGAGGGGGCGGAATCTCCATCCCTAGAGGTGTTTAAGTCCCGGCTGGACCAAGCCCTGGCTGGGCTGATTGAGTTGGGCGTGGTCCTGCCTTGGGCTAGGGATGTTAAATTTAGATTCATCGGCTAATTGAATAGTTGGTGCATTTTGCATCGACTATTCGATTAGTCGATAAAGCGCCTCTGCAGCGTAGACACAGACTTAGGGCTGTGGCTACACTTGAAAGGCGAAAGCGCTGCAGGGAGCATGGGGCCAGCGGGGGACTCAAGCAGCCCCCGCTGGCCCCGTGCTCCCTGCGGCGTTTCAAAGCGGCAGCACCACATGGAGCCCTGGCTCCAGGCTCCACACAGCTCCCTAGCTGACCCTGTGCACCCGACAGCACTTTTGCCTTTGGAAGTGTAGCTGCTACATTTCAAAGGTGGAAGTGTCCTTATCAGCTAATCGAATAGTCAGTGTAAATTGCATCAACTATTCGATTAGTGAAATAATCGAAATTTTACATCCCTAATTTCTTGCAGGTGTGGGAGGAAATGTCAGTGGACCAGAATGGGGTTTAAACTGGTTTAATTGACCTAAATCCTGGGAGAGGAGAATTCAATTCAAGCAGGAATCCCAGATCTAAGTTAGTGGAATTAGGCCATTCTCTCTCTCTCTAGCTACTTTGCCATTAGTGGCTGAGCTATGGGCACTTCATTTAAAGACTGGGGCTATTGTGGCCTTAAACTGGCATTGCCCGCAGCCACAGGCACCGGGGACAAGAGTCTCCTCCGGGTGTCCCGGGCCCACATGCCCCCAAGCCAGGCTGCCCCACTGCCTAGGGCAAATCCAAACCAAGAGACCTTGGCGTGGGGCGGGGTAGGGGAGAGCGGCAGCAGCTCCTTTTCTCTCTAGCAGCTGCCTTCTGACCCGCCTCCCTCTTCCCCGGGCCTTGACCCATCCGCAAACACAGGGGCCCTGCCGCTGAAAGAAGAGAAAAAAAGAGCGCTCAGGGCGGCAGGTCGCGCAGAAAGGAAACCCCTTCGACACCAGCAGATCCCGGCCTCACGCCTCCGGAGCCGGCACCACACCACACCCTCGCCTGCTCGGTCGCCAGCGCTGGAAAACCCCACCCTGGTGATGGCAGAAAAATCCGCCGGGGGAAATCTCTCCCTAAGTCTCCGCTGAAAGAAGAGAAAAAAAGAGCGCTCAGGGCGGCAGGTCGCGCAGAAAGGAAACCCCTTCGACACCAGCAGATCCCGGCCTCACGCCTCCGGAGCCGGCACCACACCACACCCTCGCCTGCTCGGTCGCCAGCGCTGGAAAACCCCACCCTGGTGATGGCAGAAAAATCCGCCGGGGGAAATCTCTCCCTAAGTCTAGGCAGCCTGGGGTGAGCTCACCCGTGCAGCAGGAGCGTCATTCAGACGCATTGCGACTTCTCACGGTGCCCACGGACACGGTGAAAACTTCCCAAAGGGGAAGGAACCCCGACCCCACGGCGCTTACAAAGTACCATTCGCCAGGGCACGGCAAGGGGCAGGAGGGGGCATGGCCGGCGGTCTGAGGAAGGGCTAGAACATCAGGATGAAACGAGGGGATGGGTTTAAATGTCCTTGATTCAGAGAAAAGGGACGTCTCGGTGGGGCACTTCCCCAGGGCGAGGCAGCAGGGAGAAGCCCAAAGGAAGGGTGGGAGCGAGCATGGGGGCTGTGCAGACCCATGCAGGAAGGGGGGCCAGGCCTGGAGGACACACATTCTCCCCGGCCATCTCGGGGCACTGGCAAACGGCAGACCAAAGTCAGCGGCTCTGGCAGAGCGGAGCAAGCGGGGAGCAAGGACACCCCGTTCCCCACCGTTCTGGTTCACAGAGCAGAGAGAAAACTCCTCGAACGGCCCATCCCTGGCAGCCTGCTCCCGGCCGCGGCCCCTCGTGCTGCCTGCCTGGGAGGACCTTTGGGGACTGAGATGCCAACAACAGACCCAACCCAGGGCCTGTACAGAGACAAGACCCCCGCTGGCCCCGATCCTGCGAGGTGCACGTCCCATCAGCTTCGGTGCGAATTGCAATTGAGGAGCAAGGGCAGCAGGATGTGGCCCGATAACGAGAATCCTTGTTAAAACAACACACTTCCGCCCCCACAGAGACGCCTGTATCTCCAAACATAGCTTCTCTGCTGCCCTGGGAGGGAAGGGAGGCCATGCGCCCGCCCCAGACACAACCCAAATCCTCTGCACCTACGTCCCATCAGCTTCGGTGCGAATTGCAATTGAGGAGCAAGGGCAGCAGGATGTGGCCCGATAACGAGAATCCTTGTTAAAACAACACACTTCCGCCCCCACAGAGACGCCTGTATCTCCAAACATAGCTTCTCTGCTGCCCTGGGAGGGAAGGGAGGCCATGCGCCCGCCCCAGACACAACCCAAATCCTCTGCACCTCCACCCCTGCACCAATATCCCTTCCCGGACCCTGCACCCCGATCCCCTGCCCCAGGTCACAACCCCCTCCCAGACTCTGCACCCCCTCCTGCACCCCA